AGTACTACACTTTTTATAACTGCAAATATAATATTTTAATTAAAATTTAAAGCATCGAATGAATCAACTCGCCTGAATGCAATCTAATTGAATAAAGATTTTGTAGAGACGCTTAATTTGTTCTGCTGCAAAAGTGTGAGAAGAGGAAGTGAAGCCAAGTTTTGTAGCAAGGAATGATGCCTGAGCACCTAAAAGAAATAGGCCCTTAAAAAGATGAATGTAAATTACTAGTAACTCCGTCGTCAAGATCAATAATCTCCCGATGAATATCCCCAGGACTTGTTCTAGCTATTTCTTCAATATCTACACCACCTCTAGGAGAAGCAATAATCATAGGGCAACTGCTTCTACGATCGAAAAGGATGGCAAGATATGTTTCGCGAGCAATGTCAAGGGCTTCGGCTATCATTACCTGAGTTTACAAAAGTACCAAATGAAATTTGGAGGTAACTGCTTCCAAACATGCTGAATGCAATATCCAGGCATTTGTAAAGAAACCTACTTTGTTGACAGTAACACCTTGTTCTGGCGTTTGTTGCGTTATCAAATTAAATCCTATCATTTTTGATACTAGGGAAGGAATCTCTTGTGCGTTTTTGGTAATGTGTATTCCACCACGGAACCCATTCGTAAAGAAACCATTCCCTCTGCCACCAGAAAGAATTTGAGCTTTTACTACATATTCTTGCGCCTTAAGAGATGTAAAATTGACAAATTAACTTTGAAGTTTCTGAGAAGTTTCTCTGCACTATCGGAACTATCCGCAACAACAAATTTCTGGATATTAATACCGCTTTTATGCATTAGTTTTTTGCTTTGGTACTCCTGCAGGTTGAAAAACCGTCTCGAAGCATATAGGCATGAATAGAACTTGCGTAGGAAAAAGGGTTCGAAGAGAGACATGTGGGGGAAGGCAGGATGAGTAAGCGTTTGATAAATGCGGGTATGCAAAGTAAATAAAAAAAGGTTATTAAGATAAAAAAAATCATAATATAATTTATGTATATATATATTATTATTATCGTAATATAGTATGATTCATTTTTGGCTTCTTGGTTGCATTCCAATATTTTTATAATCTTCGTTAGCCCTGGTTTTTAACAAATTTAGGGAAGATAAGGTACTTAGTCTATTGAGTATAACTCTGAAGGATAACAATACACTTTTATTGTAAAAAGAACTTTAATTTTTACCTTAACATGAAGTAAACCATGTTCTGGATACACTTGTTGAATTAATTAGCTTATCAGATAGGTTACCTGAGAATATGAAGAATAGTATTGAATTGGAAACTATTCCGCATTTTCATAATATAATCAAGCCAAAACGATCTTGTTTTATCAATAGGGTTTCATAATATATATGTAGCAATAATCAAATTGTTATAAAAACCGACAAAGGTGGAGAAGTGGAAGTCATGGTTAGGTCAAGTTAAGAAGAAAAAATGCTTGTTCATTTAGATGATACTGACGCTTATACGCCATTTATGAGAGATCCATCTGAAAGACTTAAGACTATACTAATGGATGTATTTAAAGCTTACGTCTCCATCAAATTATGGACGAAGGCTAAACCGGTTTTAGCACGAAGCGGGGGAGAATGTCTTATGGACGTATGAAGGCCAAGAGGCTACAGAACAACCGGGATCAGCCATCGTCCTTTAGTGAAATTGAACTTCAAATTTCTTCTTCATGCACTTGCAAAAGAAATGAAAGTCTTTCAAACAATTTTATTTCACAAAATTCATGGAAATCCAGTTACACAGATACTCTGAATTAGGACAGATTTTGTGTACAGACGCTAACATACATACACGAACGGACACACTCGTTTTATTTCCATCTATATCTTAAAGTATGCTCTCAATAGATATATATATCATATAGAAAAAGCTGGTCAGTCTGCTTGACTTAGTGTTAACTTGAGGCTTTTGCAAGGATGACTCTTTTTAATGTGTCGTGTACATCACTATTGTCGTTCACTCTGTATACTTTTTATTCTTTTTACTTATTACCTATTTTTGTTATAATTATCCCTACAAAATGGTCCTAGTTATCAAGCCATCTACAGGATAAAATATTTAGGATATTTTCCATTTCTATTTCTACTTCTACTTCAAGGTTATTCATTTATACGTTTGCCGGAGTCTGGCAGCTCTAGACCAAAGTATGGGCGTAAGAGTAGAGTGGGCGATGTGACTTTGTTAATATGATGACAGTGATTAAAATTTTATACATAAAAATGGACAAAAGATAGTAGGCATATTTAAAGTATACACAAATTTGAGTTCATTGAAAGCTGATGCAATGTGAAATGTCAGAGGACATGTTGCTCCTGTGTGAGAGCATACGAAGGCCTTTTGTTCGGCTTAACTTATTTCTAATCTATGGGCGTGTATAGAATACAGCATTAATAGCGAAAGCTGGAAAAAATAAAAAAATTGTGATGGACAAAATATTGTCAATAATAGAATTAAAGTCACAAGAACCTAAATGAATAGATGTAAATTCATGCCTAAGGTCGAGTTTGCGAACCAAGTATAGTCCCTACAAATAATCTTAGGTGATAATTTTGGAATAGTTGGTAGAGTTCTTAAATGTTCAAGAAAGCTTTAGGAATTAATGCATGCTATGATAAGAGATTGAAAGCTGGCAAATTAGCTATAAAAACAATATTTTTCACAGAACACATCAAAAACTAGGAAGAGCCATTTATATAAGTATTAGTGAAATATGTGGAAGAGGAGAAAATTAAGGACAGATAACTAAAGGGAAGAAAGCTAAAATTTCTCGACGATCAAAAGTAGCATGTTGTTTTAAGGTATAATCTAGAATTCTA